ATAAAAAGCCCCTTTCCCTGCCCGCTTTTCTGTTGCCGTACCATCCCAGCCTCTACTGCGTGGCCTGGTAGCAGCGTAAGAGAGGAAGGGGGACCAGGCCAGGGGAAGGGCCAAGGTGAGAGAGGTGGGGTGGGCGGGTGCAGAACCTTTGGTGAAACCAATCCAGCTGGCTCAGGACTCTTCCTGCCTCTTTCCAGACAAAGGAAGCAAAACACCCAAAACCTAAGGCATTTCATTCTAAATTAGGGAACGTGTTTTAATGATTATTTACCACGTAAGTCCTTCAAAATGAGAAATGTCAAAGGAGTTAATAATCAGGAAATACTTTTAAAAAGCTCTATTATTTCAACAAAGATAAAAAACCTAGCAAGTTATGGCAATGCTGATAAGACAGCAGTCTTGGGTGTTGTGGTGGACGGACTTTTTCACTACCGATTCACAAATTCAGGAATAAGGTCTAAAAAATACCATTTAACTAATTTAAAATGACACCTTGAGAAATGCAGTGGTTTTGGAATGGAAGGCTGACAGAAAGAACATCTTCCATACAAAGTCATCCTTTCAAAATGGATGGCGGTTCTTGATTATAAAAGGTTAGAAAATTTGGTCCTACGCAGTTGCTTTCCTTAGAGAATTGAAGACATAAGGAGAAAAAGCTTGACAGACACCCCGTTTAAGAGTGGATAGTGAAGCAGGTGTGCTTAAGAGTTATTTTCACCCTTATTTCATTCCCCTGCTTTTATATTGCTGATATGACATATAACTGAATCATCAAAGCAGTATTAAAGGCTTTTGAAGTTCAGAGGCATCAGCTGCAGTCCTGGACTTGCTGGCTACACTTCTGCTTAGAACTGGATTGTCATAGTACAATTTTATTCATTAAATGTCGGGATACATTTTCATTCATAAACCACAGTTATGCACACCAAGTTCTGTTAAATAGGAATCAACAGAAATTAAATGCTTCATTAGATTATGAAGTCCCAATTTTTCAATACAGTTAGAGCCAAGTCAAAAACTAATATTTACCCAATTTGCCTGGATAAACCAACAATCTGTTCATTCATGTAAACCAGGAAGGAAAGTCCAGAGAGTGATCTGATCAATCCTGTTTTTTTTTTTTTTTTAAATAGAGAAGAATCATAAAATGTATGGGTCAAAAGGTATGTTAAATCCTGCTTGTATTACTGCAACACATTCTACATGGGGCTGCCCTTGAAGAGTATTCTAAAGCTTCAACTGGTGCAAAAAGCAGTGGGGTGGGCAGTTACGGGTGCTGGTTGTTCAGCACACGTGACACCTCTGCTCTATGAGTTGCACTGGCTGCCAGTCTGCTTCTGGGTGCAATTTGAGGTGCTGCTGGTTGCCTTTAAAGCCTTTCACGGCTTGGGGCCCGGCGACTTACAGGTCCACCTCTCCCCAGCGGTGTCCACTTGCCCTGTTGGATACGGCCAGAGAGGCATGCTCCTGGTCCCGTCTGCCAGAGAGTGTCCTCTGTCGGGACCCAGGAGGAGAGCCTTTCCTGTTGTGGCACCGGACCTCTGGAATGCAATTCCTCTGGAGAGTGGACTGGCCTCACCCCTCTTGGCCTTCTGCATGCCCCGAAGGCCTGGCTTTGTGCCTGAGCCTGGGCCCCAGGTGCACGATGGAGCCCATCTCCCGGCCACACGAAAGGCTGGACTGATATTTTGTAATTTTTCCCTGGCTGCTATATGTCTTATTTTTTATATATATATTTTTCACCTTCTCCTCCAGCACGACAATAAGCTTTCATCTGCAAGAGCATACTTTTCATCTGTATCATTAGCATACTCTTCTGGTGGGGCATTCCCATTAAGTACTCTCTGCTGGGATCCATGGGACTGATACTCTACTTTCTTGGCATGCTATCTGTGAAAAATAACCAAGCAGGGCAGATAGGTGGTAGTATTTGAATTCTCACTGATGTAATCAACTGTAGTTATCGGAAACATTTAGTTGTAGTTATTGCTGCCCAAGGGGGACACACCAGTTACTGAAAGCAGAGGTTCATGTACTTTTGCCACACACAAATTTGTAGCTTTGGATCATTTTCCCCAATAAATAAATGATCAAGTACAATGTTTTTGACTCATTTGTTCAGTTGGGTTCTCTTTATCTACTTTTAGCACCTGTCTGGAGAATAGATCACGTTTTAGGTCACATTTATGCAGAAATACTGAAAATTCAAAAGGGTTCACAAACTTTAAACACCACTATATTTGTGGAATATGGATTTCAGCCGCCTATTTATGCGTTATTAGTGGCATTCCTGTTCTGCATTTTCTCCATGAATTTCAGAGCAATATAAAGAAGCATCTGGAGGCCCAGGTTACCCAGGGAGGAACCGCACCACACTGGCAGCCCGGGCTTCTCTTCACAGCGCTAAGGCCCCGGCTTTCAAAAGGATGATTAAGGGGAAGAACATTTGTTGTAATGCAGCCTTTTGGGGGGGTGGAATTTTGAGGGCATTACAAAACACTCCCTAAGGAGAGCTGCCTAATCACAAAATGAGTAACCTCCAAATATCCATTTATCAGAAGGCGTTTCTGCCACTTCCCGTAAGCTTCTCCCCCCGGGATGCTTCCCATCATTCCGGCTTCCTGTCTTTTCTTTTCCCCAGCATTGGCACACCCCTTTCCCCCTAGGAATACCTGGGAGGGCTACCCGAGAGAATAAAGATACAGCTTACTGGCTGATGTTTTCTTCCACAGCAGGCCAGCTTTCCATTTAATTTGTTTAAAATAATATGTGAAAGTACCGAACTCAGATGGGGCGGGGAGTCTGAAGGATGCCAAGTGAGGAGGTCTGCGGGCTGGCCGTCACCTGCCCCGGCTGCCTTGCATTCAAGTCAATTAAGAGCAAGTGTCATGGGTGGTACGTGGAGTTTTATGAGACATGTGGGTCCTTGAAGCTTCCTGGGACAGGGTAACCTTGTGTACTTTACACAACCTGAACGGTTTCATGTGCATCATCTGAGTCTTTTGGACAAAGACTGGAATAGAACTATCAGCTGCACCTATTAGATTTTTATTTACGTGCATGTGGTGCATAAGGAAAAAGCCATTTGGAAAGGATCAGAAGGCTAACCTCTTAATGGAGTTGTCTGAAATATATTTTCTCAAGGAGCATCTTGTTCTGTAGGATCCTTCTGTATTTTAAAATACTGGATTCTTTCATTTGTTCTATAGAATGGTTCCATGGGATTTTTCTTCTGCATTTTTTTTAAACTGATGGATTTCTTATGTATGATTTGTCCTTCCAGCTGGCCCTTTACCCATTATTTTGGCAGCAGATAATGGAAGAAAACATCACAATTTAATTTCAAATAATATGCACAAATAATGGAAGAAGGAACTGGGTGTAATATTTGAATATAAACCTTTTTCTTATTTTGCATAACAAACTGAAGCTGGGTACAAAACCCAATCAATCGATCGATCAATCGATCAATCAAATCAAAATAAGCCCCAAATAGTACCTGAGCAAGAAATACCGTGCAGCAAAGAAGCTGGAAAAGCTGGAGCTTCTCTGGCCAAGAGGGAGGGAGGGAGACAAGCTAAAGCAAGCGCTGAAAGAAGATGCAGGTGGCCCCAGCATCTCAGCATGCTTGCTGAGCACGATCCTAGAAAATATCTAATGTTAAAGGGAGACAGATTCTGTACTGTTGCTTGCAGGAAGATAGGCTTTTTGGACTTAAGGACAGATTTGATTTTTGAGGGCCTTTTTATTTTTTTCAAAACACCTACAGGACCTACAGGATCTACATGGAGCCAAGGATATAAATAGGCAATAGATATCTTATTGGAGACTGGTCCTTTGCAGTTTGCCTTAAAAATGTTAAGTCTAACGTGGGCAGGAGCCTGATGGACACCAAGAAATGTATCCATGCCATGTTTCCTCAGCCAACTTTTCCTGAGGAAAGTTCAACTGCTGATGTCTTCATGGAGCCTTCTATGCAGTTTTCCTGGCAATAATACAAAGTAGTTAGCCACCACCTTCTTCTGAGAAGCGTTTTCAATTTCTCAGTCTAGCCTTCAGCTCTAAGATTCCCTGGAAGTCTTGTCCCCAAGTACCAAGCTGACCTCAACCAAGTGCTGCCACCACCTGAGCCACTCCCCTTGCTTACAATCTTCAGATTCTGATAGGGCTGAATGGAGCTGGGAGTACACAGAAATGCTTCTTACCTGGCAAGGCTTTTGCCCATTTCACCACATGTACCAGGTGCCTCTCTCCAAGTTCATTCAAACTGGTCAGAAGAGAGCCAAAGGAGTCGGGCTGATTGTTGTCATGCCCTGCACAAACCACACCAGGCTCAATGGCTTCCAGGACATTGAGGAAGATGGGCTGGCATTCCAGGCCATCAATGTGTATTATGGGCATTTTTGTGGCTTGCTCCTCAGTGGGGCTTGATGGTCCCGCTGTCTCCCCTTCTTCTTGCAACTTCAGGTTACCCAATTTCTTGAGCTTGCGAGCTGAAAGAAAAAAAGGTTTCTAAGAAAACTCTCCACTAGAGGTTGACAGTTTATATGATTAGCAGGCATGTCATCAAAGGAGGAAAAGTTTATTAAAGCCTACCATGTCATTAAGCCGTATGAATCTGTTGCTATCATTTATTGATTCTGCTCTGGGGCAAGCCACCAGAGCTGTTCAGCAAGCAAGATGGGCACCAACCTATAACTCCAACGCAGTACGCTATAAATTCCTATGGGCAGTCCTAGGTTGAGAGGCAGCACGGGTAGAATTTTAATGCAGCTATCATTCACCTACATTCAGTTATGTAAATATAACTGAAGAAAGGGAGCAATAGCTTTGTAAGATTTTGACAATCTCACCCAGATTTTGCATGGAAACACTGAGAGTTCAATCTTCCCATGCAAGATTTCACAACAGAATATTGTACAGGCTTGCTCAGATTTTGTAAGGAATATTTTTAATTTTTACAAAAATTAATGTGTTAGGATTTGAGCAAACCATCTAAGAGTGACAGACATCATGGTGCCTGTGGATGGCCCTAAAATGAGTGCTCTTCTTCCTGTTGCACTAGGTATGACAAGATGGAATTATGTTCATCCTGATGCTCCTTGATATTCAGTACTGACTGCTGATGTTCACAATTAGAATTATATGGAGTTTCCCCAGATTCTCAGAACAGTAGTATAGCCCTGAATTTGATGTTGCAGGTACATAACCAAGATTTTTCCATCATTATGCTTTTATGTTTCTGAACAACTGGATTTCTGACCACTGTCCTTGCAAGCCAAAGAGTGTATTGATAGATCTTCAGTCTGATCCAGCAAGACTAAGCATACTTTGCATAGTTCTAATATAAAGGGTAGCAATCTTTTCACGTGGCATTTCACTATGCTAAATGGCACAGTGGCGCAGGCATAAACAGCTAAAACTTTGCAAGATTTTGATGACCTACCCCTGCTCCAAGATCTTGTAAGATCGCACAGGAGAATGTTGAATTCTTGTAAATTCTGGCAATCCTTGTCATTTTTTAAAATTAGGGGATGCATTTTTAAAATTTTAATTTGGAGGTTCCATGAAAGCCATTTGGAGGCACTGTGAATTCTATTGCTGCTCCCTGTCCTAATGGAAATCACCAAAAACTGGGTAAAGCGAGAGGAGGATTAACTGTCACAGAATCACAGATGGGACCTCAAGTCCCGCATCTCCACCTCACCTCCCCCACCCTCACTCAGTGTAGGCCACCTCTGCTTGAACATATCCAGCGAAGGGAACTGTCCTAAAGTTTAGTAATGTTTTCCTAACATTCAAGCAGAGTCACCTTTCACAAAACTTAAATCCATTATTCCTGCCTTTGAGTGTGACAATCTGCTCCTGAAACACTCCCATTTCTTTTAATTTCTCTTTGGAGGTTGACTTTCTGGTCCTCTGATTACCCCTGCTGCCCTTCTCCTGTTCCAGTTTGTCTGAGTTGCTCCACTTTTTTCTGATCATATTGCACATTGCGTTATTGTGTACAGTTTAGTAATTTTTTTCCTAATATTCAAATGGGGTAAGCCTTTTTTTTTTTTTTTTAAATCATATCTCCCTTGGCAACCTGGATGCTACGCCGGCTTCATGGGTTGTTTTCTGTTTTGTCACTTTGCTGTAATTGCTTGCCACAGAGCATTTCGTTTCTCTTAGGACGGTGACTGGCTGTGGGACCCAAAGGGTGGCTGCGGAGCTGGCTGTGGGTCAGATCAACCTGCGCTGGTTTCACAGAAATCCTGCGTTCTCAGGGCTTTTGAGGGGGTTCTCGAATTCTGCACTGCCATGGCCCCCTTAATGATAAATGAATGTGTCTGCCCCATGAATAAAGCTAATGATTTTACCTGTGCTACAGGGTGGCAAGAAATCAATAGACCACTTTTCCTCATTAAACCTGTCAAACAAACCAACCCAATGACCAAACCTTGTAATTTTATAAAATAAAAACTTTCCGTTGGAGATCGACAATTAAACAGCCAGAGCCATATTTTTAATGGGAAGAACGGGCTTGCCTAGTTTTGCCTAATTCCTGAAACCTAGGTCCTATTTTTCAGATCCCCTCTCTCAGTTCTTATTCTACATTGGTTCTGGACTGATGTTTCCTCCTCATCACAGAAACAGTGGGAAGCCTCAACTTTGGGCAGCTTGTCCAGGCTAAGGAGGAGCCAGTTCTGACAGTGATCCGGCTTCGCACATGCATTTGTGCCAAAGCACAGCCTTGCCAGGACTTGTTCTGGGCTTTGCTTAGACAAGGGGACTGTTGGCTTGTCCAGGTGACCCGGGGAGGTGGGGTGTCACAACTGAAAACCTCTGCCCTACAGAATTAAGAAGAAGAAAGACATCTGTCTATGTCCTTGTAGTAATTTTGCTGGTTAAATCCAGCTAGAAATGGGTGGCTGAACATATATGTAAGAGGGAGCCAGATCTGCCAATTCTGAGCCCTGCCTAAGCTCTGCTGAGTCCTGAATGTTCCTCGCAGCTGACGAGCTCTACTTCCAGGGAGATTTAGCCGATCCTGTTCCAGGCAACCTTCACGTACAGACCTTGCATCATGTTACACAGACCATGAATAAAGCCCTAGGAAGTCTGCGATTATAACTTTTCTAATTCACCGAAATGGACTGTTTCTAGCATTTATTTATTTATTTTCCACTCCTGGGTGTCTGCTTTAATAATTGGCTTGCTTGCAACCATAAAGTCTGCAGAGCCAGATTTTGTTATTCTAGACAATAAAATACTTTTATATCTCCCTGAAACTCCACCACCTCCTTCTCAAAAGCCAGCTTGGAAGTAAATAAAATAATTAATTAGAAATAATGGGGAAGAGATAGAGAAGTACCCTGATTGCTTGACTTCAGCAAGAGAAAAATAAAACCGCATCTGTTGTCCTTGGGGGTTCTGGCTCCCTACATTAAATGATACTTATCTGAAGTTTCTTTTGGCCATAATTTAAAAAATAAGCCTCCAAACATAAAAATGTCAAATCAAAGAGCATCTCAATAAATCAATTCAAAAGTTGATCTTTAAATAATATGCTTTGGATGATCTACAGTAAGAGCAATCAAGGGAGGCTGGTCTGTAAAAATGGGAACATGGCAATAAAAATAAAAGTGAGTAACCTTCAAAAAACAAGAGCATAGTGCAGAACGACATCCATGGCGTTATTTATGCAGGTTGGGATGGTGAAAGGGAGATGGCTGAACATGATCTGATCAGGCTCCCACAATGCTCTGATAAGAGTGCACTGCTGGTTTCCCAAGAGCATTGCTGCTCTTCTCTCGTAACCTTGAGACGGTTTTGCTTCAGCATAACGTGGCCTATCTGCGCTCAGAAGACACAACAGTCATCTCTGTTTTGACTAAATGGAGTGGTGGCCCAGGAGGGAGGCAAGGAGTAATGAAGCCGAGTATTTGGAAAGATCTAACATTCCAGAAGTTGCCCAGCATGGCCATTTCTGAGAGAAGCTACGACTTCAGTAAACATACAGAAGTCAATATACAAAGTTGAAACCTTATAGCAGCCCTGCCCAACTTCTGGTGACCTAAATGTTTGGCAACTACAACTTCAGAAATTCCCAGCTAATGGGCCCACTGGAAATGCTGGGAGTTATTGATACATCACACCTTGAGAGCTCCAGTTTGGCAAAAACTGCCTTAGATACTACTACTAAGAAACATACATTGCTAATGTTATCTCACACCATACTTGGTTTCCACTCACAATCAAAATATGCAGGTTTGTGTAATCATTTGTAACAACAATTAGAGGAATTAATATTTTTCTACTCTCACAGAAATTTTGAGAATTTTAATTTTATTGTTGAAACACCTATTTCAGTTGGTTAGAAATGTGTGCAATTCAAATTTTCTCTCTGCTTTACTATTCACACTACTGTAGTATGGTTGCATAGCACCATATTCTTCCTAGTGTTTTATTTTAAAAACTGCAGTCTTTCTGGTAATCTTTCTGAAAGCTTTCTACACATCTTCTGCTAAATTGTAGTTATAATACTTGCATAACAACTATTAATTGTCCAAGACTTTTTAAATATATCTATATCTATAAATTAGCTTGCAGGCTTTACAATTCAAACACTTCAAAAAGCATTCAGCTTTCAGCTGTGTACTTTCTTTCACATACTTTTTTGGGGGGTGGGGGGTGGGAGAAAGACAAATACTAGTGGACTCTGATGCCAATGTCTGCATTGCTGCAAAATCCAACACAAACAGAACAGCCACATTTGCTTATAGCAGAATTCATGGCAAAATTCTGCTTCAGCCTCAGATATGAAAAAAGGTTTTCTCCACACTAGAATGTAAATAAAGAAAAGGAAAGAAGGATGTTAACAGATGGTGTTTCCAAATCAAGCACGTAACAGGCATAGACTGAACCACTTCAGGCTGCATGCGAGTAAAAACAATTGCATACCTAAAAATGTTTTGCTACAAACATGATTGGCTTTTATATGCCAGAATGGGTGCCTGTGCATACCCCCCAATATCATTTTTCTGCCAGTGTGAACAGTTAATTTTCTTCACAAGGTTTCCACCATGAGAAACAATTCAGCAAGTCATGAACAACAATTCCTTTTCTGAACAGGTTTGTTCTCCCATTTCATTAATCTGCCTGCCTTGTCCTTACGTCACGGACATTTCTTCTGCAATGGGCTGCCTGCTGGAAATCCATCTATAAAGTGGCATCTTTCCATAAAGGTGGTTCTCTTGACTTCATAGCTCAATGTGGGCAGGACTCAAAACTTCAAGCCTCAGAAGAGGAAATGATTCTGCAGAAGGGATTTCAGAATGGAATGATTTCTCTAGAGCGGCGTTTCTCAACCTTGGCGACTTGAAGATGTGTGGACTTTAACTCCCAGAATTCTGGGAATTGAAGTCCAAACATCTTCAAGTTGCAAGGTTGAAAAACGCTGCTCTAGAGGGAGTGAATGCCCCTTGAGGAAAGCTTAAAGAGCAGTCTT